GTGTCAATGGGGGGAAAGAAGGGGGCACAGAAAGATAAATTTAAAAATAATAAAAAATAAAATAAAACCAATGTCCAGTTCTGAAGAATCCTTTCCTATGTATGACACTTTTTATTAATTGTGCCCTGAGAAATTACATTATTCTCAGGGAGCAGGGAAGGTTTTATGTCTAAAAGTGAAGAAATGGATACATAATTTGGGTCTGGTTGGTTTAGAAAACATATGACAGCAAAGAATTCACATTGGTTTATTTTTTTCCACTGACAGGTTGAAAACAGTGCCCAGGATTTTTCACTTTACATTATTTTTGCAACGGGAGGTGAGAAAGCTTGTTCACTCTTTTTACATGGCCCCGTGTGTTACAGTTTTCGGCCCACGGGGCAGGCAGAAGAGCAGTTAACCTCATTCTGTGGAAGGAAGGGAGAGCAGGGAGGAAGGAGGGGAGGGTGTTTTAGAACCGAAGAATAAGGTATCCTGGAAGAGCGTATCATACAGCAGAATTGGCTTGTTGGCCAAACATTCACTTATCTGAACGGTGATCAGAATCCGTGAGGCTTCCCAGGAACTGGACCAGGACTGGCGCGCGTTTGTCATCGTTGATCTCCGCGCCTTCCTTTCTGCCTTCCCCTCCTCGGGGAAGCTCTTACCGGGGCCATCACTGAATGTCGTTTTTCTGCCATCTTGCTGTCATCTCTGACCTAGCCGAGGGCCCGACGGGCAGGCGCGCGTCCTCGGGAGAAGCGCTCAGAGCTGGCGGCAGGGCCTGGCTGACACGGCAGAGCCGGGCGTTGGGAGGTGCCGTGCGGGACGCGAGCAGCAGCCAGTGGGAGGTCAGGGAAAGCCCACGGTGAAACTCAGAATTTTGAAAAACCTCAGAATTGAAAAAGCTCAGTGTTAAATTATAGAAATATCCCAGGTTATAATTTAAATGACGGAATGTTTAAGCCAGAAATGAATAAAATAAAATAATACATTTTGATGACGGGATAACTACAAGAAAATCAGAGCTGAATGGATGAAGCTCACAGGTGACCCTTGACTGCGTCGGTTCTTGTTTTTTGCAGAAAGGAGGCGGCTAAAGAAGACAGACATCCCCCTCCTGCACAGGCTCCTGCAGGGACCCTCCAAAAAGAATGCTCGCATTTTCCTCATGGATAAAGGCACAGAGGAAATCAGCAGTGATGTACGGTCCCCTCACCCTGAATCTGCTTTGCCTCCTCCTGACCCGGCACCTCTCACATAAATGCTCTGCTTTCTTTTGTGTGTGTGTGTTTTTCAGGTGGCTCAGTACATTAACTTTCATTTTTCTCTCCTGGAATCCATCCTTCAAAGATTAAATGAAGAAGAGAAAAGAGAGATTCAAAGAACAATAACAAAGTAAGTCAAGAGATGCATGCTGGGTGCTTGCTCTTTTAATGGGTTCAGTGCACAAAATGTGTCCAAATTTTAATACTCTTTTTCCCCTTTTCATTTTCAGATTCAGTGCAGAAAAGGCTATTATACTGAAATGTCTTCAAAGGAAACAGGTAGTAAAAACAGAGACGACAGTTTAGTGGCCGCTGTTGCCGAAACACTTCAACAAGACCAGAGAGCTATTCCTGCTTGATGAGCGCATCCATCCTGCACTTGCATTCATGCTCATACATATGGGCTCGAGTCTGTAGAAAAGGGAATATTGAAAAAGACTCTCTCTCTCTGAGGTGCTAAGGTTCACCAGGGTTCACAGTCGGACTGAAATGAGCTTGAATTTAGTTTCAGTAATTGAAATAAGCTTGGATACTGTGTATTCCAAATATAGTTTTTATAGTGAGACACTCGACAAACTGGAATTTAAATGGCATCTTCAGTGTCATGCAGTTCAAACGTCTATTAGCTTGAACTGTCAAGAGAACTGGAATATCAGCAACCAAACTCTCAGAAATGATTCAGAAGTAAAAGCTGCCAGCCTGTGAAATAAAACAGAAGCATATTCTTACCCCCACCAAGAAACCTGATGGCGACAGGTGTCTATAACTCCTTGAAAACTCTAGTATTTTCATAAGATCTACGGTCTTTGTGTGGGTAGGTGGCTCTTGGCTACCTGTAACATCAGAGCTGTCAGTCCTTTGGGAAGGAAAGGACTGTGGACTCTGCTGAGAAATACAAATGGCAATTTTCTCAACCTGAGCCCTCTTTTTGCTCTGTTTTACTGATGACTTTTTAAAATATTCTAAAAGATTTATTTTAGGTCAGTTGAACTAGTTTTCCTTATTTTTCCGAGCATATGTACCACGGAGACTTAACGTATTTAATCGGCGAGGCCAGGGCTTGGCCGGCAGTGACCACTGTTACTGAATGAACATAAAGGACCACGCAAAGCTCTGCAGCTGCAGCTGCAGCTGTGCGGGGAACCTCGGGCGCCGCTCTTCTCCCCGAGACGTCTCGCCCACAACACAACGCTCACGGTATTTACAAGTTAAACAATTTGAAAAAGCAGACGAGACGCTGAGAAAGCCACAAGTCTCGCCTGTGTTTTTCTTTATGGACTCTATTGAAAGGGAGTCGTGTGCAGGTTTTTTCCATCCTGGAAACTACTTCCATTTGCATTTCTCATGCACATTGTATTAAACTGCTCGATTTTATTACGTGCACTATGGGATAAGGGTGTCTCTGCTAACCCCCGGTGGCTTATGAAACACTTTTAAGACAAAGTCTTACTTCTCATTGTCACCAAAATCCAAACTGGATGAAAGGAAAAGTGTGCTCTGCCCTTTGCAGTCCTCTAGGTCTCTTTTCTTGAGGAAAACAGTCTTGCACTGTTAACCCTTCATCTATCAATTAATAAGAAAGAAGGTAAATGTAACAGTTTAAAAGGGTACTTTAAAAAAACTTAAAGTAGCATTGAGTACCTGCCATAAACATGACAAAAGATTTATCTTTAATATATTGGAAGTCTGCAGAATGCATACAAAAAATACCAAGTGTTGGATAGAAAAGGGAAAAAAAAGTCAGATGACTTGTAAAGTAAAATCACAGCAGAGGAAATGCAAAAAGCTACTAAGTAGGTAAAAAAGTTGTATCTTAACAGTGATCAACTGTACTAGTCTGTGTCCAGTCAGGGGGCAGAAACCACAGGATAATTTAAACAGGATGTTTAGTATAAAGAATTATTAAGCTGTGAGGGGAGAGTAACTAAAGGATGGAAAGAGAACCCCGAAGGGGACCCTAACGCTGGGTAACAGTGCTCCAGAAAGGAAGAGCTTGGCACGAGGGGTCAGAATTCAGCCGAGAAGCTGCGGGTGCAGCCCGCTGGGTAAGAAGTTGGCTGGTTGCCTATGGAAGGGCAGGGCCACAGCCGTAGGGCAGGCGGGAAACAGCCTCCGGGAGGTGGGGCAGCTGGGGCGGGAGGGCAGGTGGGCAGAGAGACTCGGGACTTCGCCGCAGGTGCAAGGCTCAGATCACACAGGGTGTGTGTCTGGAGGTCCCCAGGAATCAGTTTGGAAGAACAGGTGAGCCAAGGATGCAGGGCAGGCACAGAGAAAGAGTCAGGGGGCTGCTAGGACTGGGCACTGGACGGGCCTCTTTTGAAGGAGCCCAGTACAGCTCTGTGCATGACTTGGTTCTCTGGCATCTTTAAAGCTACATGGGACAAAGGTTGGGCAAGTGGCTCCCTAGGGGTCAGCCCCACGGTGCCCTCTTGGGGAGCACACACCAAGTTGAGGAGAAGGTGCAGAGAACAATGATTTGAGCTAGGGCACAGGCCTGCTCTAGGGCTCCAGGCAGTGACACCTCAAACCCAATCAAAAACTGGAGAAGGGGTTGGGGGAATAAATGCTAGAGAAAGCTGCACCCCACCTGCAGCTAGCACTGCAGGAAAATTCTGGGCAGAGCAGTGGAGAAAAAAGGTCAGCTTCCCAGAAGCCTGGCCCGGAGCCACTAGGCAGCAGGAGACGGGCTTCCTCCTGCAGTGCTTCTCCAGTGCCCTCTGCTGACAACGCGTGGCGTGCAAGCTGCGAAGGGAACATTTAAGGGGTCCGTATTCATTTCACAAAGCTGACAGCAAAGAATGAATTTTGAGCAGAGGCAATAAAATAACTGGCATGTCAACAAAACACAAAAAGAAAAGTGAAATATACTTTTTGGTCTATTAAATTAGTAAAGATTAAGAAATGATATTAAATAGTCAAAAATCACAATGAGATGGACTCTGAATCTACAGGTAAAAATACAAATGTACTGTAAATAACTGTTTTGAAAGCAACTGAGCAGTAATTTTATATTATAATTCTATTTTTAGAACCTTATGTTGAAATAATCAGACATATAAAGACTTTATGCAAATATACTTACTATATTCCTATTTATTGTGGTCAAGGGAAGTAAATAGCCTAAATGTCAAAAACAGAAAAACAATGAAAGAAGAAATATTTACCCATAGATTGTTATTCAGCTACTATAATTGTTTCCAAATAAATTTTAATTATGGGGGTAAGTTCTCCTTATGTATCTAAATAAGAATATACACACAAATATTCCAAAATACTTACTGTCCATAAAATCTGTGTTTATATGTGTGTGTGAACACTAGTATTTGTACATACAACTCAACTCACAAACCAAAGACATATTAAATGTGGTTGTGTCTGGATTATAGAATCATGATTCACTTTAGAAAATGTTTCTATGCTTATTAAATATTCTATAATGAACATGTGTTACTTTTTAAATCAGGAAATAGAAAAGCTATGATTAAAAAGTTACCAACAAAAAGTAGCAAGTACATGCAGAGTTCTACTAGATGCAAAAAAGTTCAAATAAATTATTTAAGTGAGACGTTAACATCACTTCTGTGGTAATTCTAAAATATATCCACAGTGTCTTTGACACTCCTTCTTGCAGGAGGTACAGCCTAATCTTCCTCACCCTGCCAATGGGCGGGACTCAGTGACTCAGTTCTAAGGAACAGAGGAAAGCGGAGCGGACAGCACGTAACTTTGGAGACTAGGTCCTCAGGTCACTGCGGCATCCTCCTTGCTCACCCTCAGGGATCACTGGCTCTGGGGGAGGCCAGCTGCCACACTCAGAGAAGTCCTGGGGGAGGCCTACGTGATGGGAACAGAGACCTTTTCCCAACAGCCAGCGAGGAATTGAGGCCTTCCCTCCATTTGCTCAGGCCTTCAGATGATTACATCCCTAACAGCCATAGCCTCCTGAGAGACCGTGACTCAGAAAACCGGCTAAACCACTCCTGGGTTCCCGATCCTCAGAAACTGGGAGATAAAAAACGTGTGTTATAGTACGCTGCTACATTTTAGAATAATTTGTTGCTTCACAATAGATAACTAATACAATTTCTGAGACAAATATCTGTTCACTTCAGTCACCTTTGCAAAATAGAAAACTATCAATGTCTGAAAACCATTTATTCTTGTCTTAATGGTCCAAATATTTCACCACCAGTTACACAGTAGTTCAAATTCAATTCCAGGTGTTATACTTATTAATGGCAGAGGACCTGTCACATTTATCTTTGTATACTTTGCTGTACTTAATGTTGTGTCTTGTGTATAGTATGTGTTCAATAAAAAAACTACTCAATAAAGGACTGAATGAATTAGTGAATGAGTGAATAAATGATCTGAAATATGCTTTGTAAAATCCCCTGTATGTATGTCTCCTTTTCCACAAATATGATCCAGCTGCTGAAGAAGTACATATAGAATCTTTTCTATATGACTTTCCCTAATATGACGGTAGAGTTAATTATCTCATGGCTGTATGAAATACTCAGATATTTCAGTGTTTCCATTCAGTGTTACTATGGCATTTTGTTTGGGGCTGTTGAGATTGGTTTCAGGAACTGAAGGCGGAAAGAATCCACTTGCAAGGCAGTTGATGAGGTGGAAAACTGGCAGGCGTACTATTATGTTGATGTACCTACATGTGAAAGGGAAAAAAGGAACAGATGCAATTAGAGGCCTGCGATGGCCTCCATTTGTCTTCCAAATTAAGAATAATAGCTAACACCTATTAGATTGAGCCGGTTTGTCAATATTTGACCTACAAAAGCAGCAGCTTCATATTGTTCAGCCCAATAGCACTTACCATTCGCCAAGCACTATCTTAAATCCTTTACATATATCAACTCATTTATAATTCATTACAATCCCATGAGAAAATTACTCCTTCAACCCCATTTTATAGGTGAGGAAAGTAAGCCACACAGCAGTTAAGAGATTTGCTAAAGAGCTAGGTAGGAATCGAATCTACAGCTCCAGAATTCACAGTTTTAAGCCCCCATAGTCTATGGCTTCACCCTAAATCACACTCCCTCAATCTGGCATCTTTATTGTCCCCTTTCGTAAAATGGAAATAGTATCTACCTCATGGGATGGTTGTAGGAGTTATAGGAATAATATGTGTAATAATATGATCAAAATCCACGGTTGGCACTTTGCACAGCAGTGTGTGATAAATATTAGCTGGTACAATTTAACTATGATATGTCCCCACCCATCACTGCAGCCCTGTCTTCCACTAAATCCTATGCCCACAGCCACTGTGTTCTTGTCTTAAAATTAGCCAGACTGACAGACTCATCATCGCTTGAAACAATTCACACTCTACCACCTCTCTCTCTGGAATATGTGCCCATTTTCTAATCCTGCCCTTTCCTATCTCAGTGGTAACGTGTGATCCAAGACTCCTGAGCATCACCCCGACCAGGAGCTCAGGCGATTAGAGCGTCGTCCTGATACACCAAGGCTGTGGGTCCCATCCCCAGTCAGGGCACATACAAATCGACCGAGTGCACAAATCAGTGGGACAGCAAATTGATGTTTCTCTCGCTCCCTCTCTCCCTCAAAAGTCAACAAATAGTAATTCAAAAATAAATAGATAAATAAATAAACATATTAGGACCATTTGGTTCTAATGTCAGCATCCTGTATACAGGGTAAGGATGAAAAGTAAAATAATTATGAAGGTAACTTTATTATAAAGCACATTTCATTCAGTTCTTCAATGGTCATTTTTAGAAGTAGTATAGACAGAAACTCCAGTTGCATCTGGGGTTTTTTTATTCTAAAACCCCAGCAGCCAGTTTCCACTGCATGTGGCAGCCCATTACATCTACCTGGGGCTTTTCAAAGGCCTCCTGGCTTCATATTTCTGTTGCTGCTTCTAAG